TTCTTTCTTTCTTTCTTTCTTTCTTTCTTTCTTTCTTTCTTTCTTTCATTTTTATTTTTTTCTTATTAGTTACATTTTATTAACTCTGTATCCCAGCTGTATCCCGCTCCCTTATTCCCTCCCAATCCCACCCTCCCTCCCTCCTCTCTGCCCTTCCCCTTTCCAAGTCCACTGATGGGGGGGGACCTCCTCCCCATTCATCTGACCCTGTTTTATCAGGTCTGCAAAGTCCTCCTCTGTGGCCTAACAGAACTGTTCCTCCCCTGGGGGGGGGGTGTCAAAGAGCCAGCCACTGAGTTCCTGTTAGGATTAGTCCTTGTTCCCCTTACTATGGGAAACCAATTGGTTACTGAGCTACCACGGGCTACATCCGAGCAGAGGTTCGAGATTATATCTATACATGGTCCTTGGTTGAAGGTCAGTCTCAGAAAAGACCCTGTGCCCAGATATATTTGGTCCTTGTGGGGCTCCTATTCTTTCCCCATCATACTAATTCCCCTTCTTTCATATGATTCCCTGTACTCTGCCGAAGGTTTGGTTATAAGTCTTAGTGTCTGCTTTGAAACACTGCTAGTTAGAGTCTTTCAGATGTGCTCAGTAGACTCCTGTCATACATTCAATGCACATCCCATCTGTCTTTCTAAATGAGGATTGATTATCTTACCCCGTGCCTGCTCTCTTGATTATCATTTTTAGGTGTATAGATTTCATTCTTTTCTAGTTTTACTGATTTGCTGGCAATTTTATGAAGTCATTGTTTTTAATATCCAAATAATGCTGGTATAAAACGTGAAAAAAACGTAGTGATAAAATTACTCTTAATGATATTCTATTATACTCATAGATCAGTGCCTTGTTCAATCATCATCAGAGAAGCCTTGAATTTTATTGGCCACCTATGGCTGAGAGTTCAGCTTGCTTTTAAGAGTACATTTTCCCCCCAAGTGAGACTCCCTTGGAGAAAACTAAAGTTTCTTTTGAAAGGGCTTATCAACTCAAGACTGCCTCTGGGATAGAGATGGAAACATATGTCCAATTCTTCTTTCAGCTCTAGGACACTATCTGAGGTAGCCCTGTTCAGATCCTGTATTTTCTTTTTCTACCTCATTCATATGTGCATTATTCATGTTGATTTAGATGACCTTGTTTTCCTAGAGTCCTCTATCCCCTATGGTTTTAACACTTGTTGTAGCCCCTTTTCTGGAGAATTCCCTGGACTTTGAGGGGAGAGATTTGATGGCTATATTACATTTGGAACTGAGTGCTTGAAGGTCTGTCACTCTACACTATGGCTGTGGTTCACTGAGATTCTTCTCATCTGCCACAGTAGGAAGACTCTCTGAAGATGGCTGATCAAGGCACAGATCTATTAGGACAGCAAAATGTCATTAGGAGTCAGTTACTTGAGTCTTTTGTTCTTTCTTTAGACCAGTAGTATTTGGTCTTACCCTAGGTCTATGGGCTATCTTAGTCAGGTTCTTGGTCACTCAAAGAACATTGGGTATGTGTTCTTTCCTATAGAGGATTCCTTCAATGTCATCAGATGTTGCTTGGTTACTCCCAAAAGCTTTGTGCCATGATTGCATTAGCATTTGTTAATGCAAATGCCATTGTAGACCACAGAGTTTGTGGCAATGTTGGTGTTTATGTTTCTCCTTTGGTAGTAGGAATAGTGTTTTCCTATATCAAAGATGGTTGGATGTAGGGGTGAAGGCATGTGGATTAGTATGGGACCCAAATATACTAGACACCTCCTAAAATATATGCATATGTGAAGAAAATATTAATTAAATCACCAAATACTGGTGATGACAAAGACAAAGCTGGACATCACTTGGGACTAAATCAAGCTTCCTATACTGGGCCTGAGTTACATCTAATTTAGTTGTTGGACAAAGGAGCCCCATTGTAAT